TGTACTACAAACCATTTCAATGTTAGGCATTTTTTGGTGGCAGAATCAGTTGAATTGCGGTACTTAGCTCAGGTGTCGTTCTGAGCATGAGCGTTGAGGACTGAGTTTTGCATTGATTCTCTTTCTGAGACCAGTCAGGCCAGCATGCAACACGGAGGAACAACGTAGAGGCAATCAGCTTTAAAAATGGAACGTTTCTTTCTTCGATGCACTAGCCAGTATTCCTTAATACACTACAGCAGCTTTAGATCATTATGTGGCAGAGACACTAGAATTTTTTTTACTGAAGCTGTTCTTATGACTTCGGTAGATGTGGAAATGGGATATGGGATAATGTGAGCAATTTAGGGCAGCAGCTCATAAGCGATACGAGGATGCACAGCAGAATCAGTATTGTGGGGGGGGGCGGGTTGGTCCTGTTAAATGTTATAGCCATTTACTCCAGCTCATAAGCGTTTCTATGGGAGTTAAAATGCGGCAAACGTCGATTAGGAGGTCAGAGTACAAAATGGAGGAACAAAGTAGCGGCAGATCTTTTTTTGGAGTAGAGTAGTTCTTATTACAATTCGGTGACCGGTGTCTTATTACAGAAGTGTTGAAAAGATGCCGTTGCAATGGACATCACACTAGAGATGTTCTGTTGATGGAAACGGCTTAAGTCGGTATTCTCACCAACTCTGTTAGGCAAATTTTCGAAAAATGCTTTCAAAAAAAATTTTTTTTATTATTCTAAGTTTCTTGTTGTTGCAATAAACTTAAATCTGTGCAATTGAATGAATAATTTTTTCGGTTTGCGCAGAATTACATAGGCATATCAGTTTCAAGCATAACCAAAGCAAATCAAACCTGAGTGACACGCAGTTCATTCACCAGGGAAATGAATTAAGAAAAAACAACCAAAAGAAAAAGTATTACAATGAGGTATCGCAGTAATATAGTGAGCAGTCGAATTGCAGAAAAACATTCAACAGAACTACAAAAATCAAAATATACGTAATTTAGCAGGGCAGAATGGCGTAATAAGGTTGTTTGACAGCTTCAAGATTTCGGAAGCTGTGAGTATATGATGAAATAAGCATTCGTTTTTGAAACTCCAGTTTATATCATC